TGAATGAGAAGAAGCTGGATGTCCTGGCTTTAAGTGAAAACAAAGCTGAAGGGGGTGGGAGAGTTTCAGTGGAGAGGAATAAATGGGATTAGGTCAGGGGTTTCAAATAGATTAGAGCTAAAGAAGGAGTAGCAATAATGTTGAAGGATAAGCTATGGCAGGAAAAGAGGGACTATAAATGTATAAATTCAAGGATTATGTGGAGTAAAATAAAGATTGGATGTGAAAAGTGGGTTATAATAAGCGTGTATGCACCTGGAGAAGAGAGAAGTGTAGAGGACGAGAGAGAGATTTTGGGAAATGTTGAGTGAATGCGTGGGGAGTTTTGAATCAAGTGTGAGAGTAATGGTGGTTGGGGATTTCAATGCTAAAGTGGGTAAAAATGTTATGGAAGGAGTAGTAGGTAAATTTGGGGTGCCAGGGGTAAATGTAAATGGGGAGCCTTTAATTGAGCTATGTGTAGAAAGAAAATTTGGTAATAAGTAATACATATTTTATGAAAAAAGGGATAAATAAATATCAAGGTATGATGTAGCACGTATGAAAGTAGTTTATTAGATTATGTATTGGTGGATAAAAGGTTGATGGGTAGGCTCAGGATGTACATGTTTATAGAGGGCAACTGATATATCGGATCATTATTTAGTTGTAGCTACAGTTGAGTAAGAGGTAGATGGGAAAAGAGGAAGGTGGCAACAACAAGTAAGAGGGAGGTGAAAGTGTATAAAACTAAGGGAGGAGGAAGTTCGGGTGAGATATAAGCGACTATTGGCAGAAAGGTGGGCTAGTGCAAGATGAGTAGTGGGGGGGTTGAAGAGGGTTGGAATAGTTTTAAAAATGCAGTATTAGAATGTGGGGCAGAAGTTTGTGGTTATAGGAGGGTGGGGGCAGGAGGAAAGAGGAGTAATTGGTGGAATGATGAAGTAAAGGGTGTGATAAAAGAGAAAAAGGTAGCTTATGAGAGGTTTTTACAAAGCAGAAGTGTTATAAGAAGAGCAGAGTATATGGAGAGTAAAGAAAGGTAAGAGAGTGGTGAGAGAGTGCAAAAGGAGAGCAGATGATAGAGTGGGAGAGGCACTGTCAAGAATTTTAATGAAAATAAGAAAAAATTTTGGGTGAGTTAAAAAAGTTAAGAAGCCCAGGGGGAAAAAATGGATTTGTCGTTAAAAACAGAGTAGGGGAGTTAGTAGATGGGGAGATGGAGGTATTGGGTAGATGGCGAGAATATTTTGAGGAAATTTTAAATGTTAAGGAAAAAACAGAGGCAGTAATTTCATGCACTGGTCAGGGAGGTATACCATCTTTTAGGAGTAAGAAGAGCAGATGTAAGTATGGGGGAGACGTGAGGCATTACGTAAAATGAAAGGGGGTAAGCACTGAACTGATGGGACATGACAGAAATGTTAAAAGCAGGGGGGGATATAAATGTTGGAGTGGTTGGTACTTTGTTTAATAAATGTTAAAAGAGGGGGAAGGTACCTAGGGTTTTGCAGAGAGCATGTATAGTCCTTTATATAAAGGGAAAGGGCAAAGAGACTGTAAAATTATGAAAAATAGCTTATGAGTATACAGGAAAGTGTACGGTTATGGTTATAATTGAAAGAATTAGAGGTAAGACAAAATGTAGGATTGCGGTGAGCAGGAGGTTTTAAAAGTGGGTAGGGGATGTGGTGATCAGGTTTTATACTTTAAAGATTTGTGAACAGTTTTAATAAAAAAATAGGGAAGTTTTTATTGCATTTAGGATTTAGAAAAGGCATATGATAGAGTGGATAGAGGGGGCAATGTGGCAGATGTTGCAATTTATGGAATAGGTGGTAAGTTTTTAAATGCTGTAAAGAGTTTTTATGTGGATAGTGAGGCTCAGGTTAGGGTGTGTGAAGAGAGGGAGACTACTTCCCGGTAAAAGTAGGTCTTAGACAGGGATGTGTAATGTCACCATGGTTGTTTAAATATATTTATAGATGGGGTTGTTAAGGAAGTAAATGCTAGGGTGTTTGGGAGAGGGGTGGGATTAAATTATGGGGAATCAAATTCAAAATGGGAATTGACACAGTTACTTTTTGCTGATGTACTGTGCTTTTTGGGAGATTCTAAAGAAAAATTGCAAAGGTTAGTGGATGAGTTTGGGAATGTGTGTAAAGGTAGAAAGTTGAAAGTGAACATAGAAAAGAGTAAGGTGATGAGGGTGTCAAATGATTTAGATAAAGAAAAATTGGATATCAAATTGGGGAGGAGGAGTATGGAAGAAGTGAATGTTTTCAGATACTTGGGAGTTGACGTGTCGGCGGATGGATTTATGAAGGATGAGGTTAAATCATAGAATTGATGAGAGAAAAAAGGTGGTGGTTGCGTTGAGGTATATGTGGAGTCAAAAAACTTTATCTATGGAGGCAAAGAAGGGAATGTATGAAAGTATAGTAGTACCAACACTCTTATATGGGTGTGAAGCTTGGGTGGTAAATGCAGCAGCGAGGAGACGGTTGGAGGCAGTGGAGATGTCCTGTTTAAGGGCAATGTGTGGTGTAAATATTATGCAGAAAATTCGGGGGTGTGGAAATTAGGAGAAGGTGTGGAGTTAATAAAAGTATTAGTCAAGGGCGCAGAAAAGGGGTTGTTGAGGTGGTTTGGTCATTTAGAGAGAATGGATCAAAGTAGAATGACATGGAAAGCATATAAATCTATAGGGGAAGGAAGGCGGGGTAGGGGGGCGTCCTCGAAAGGGTTGGAGAGAGGGGGTAAAGGAGGTTTTGTGGGTAAGGGGCTTGGACTTCCAGCAAGCCGTGCGTGAGCGTGTTAGATAGGAGTGAATGGAGACGAATGGTACTTGGGACCTGACGATCTGTTGGAGTGTGAGCAGGGTAAATTTAGTGAAGGGATTTAGGGAAAACCGGTTTTTTCATATAGTCGGACTTGAGTCCTGGGGAAAAGGGATGTACAATGCCTGCACTTTAAAGGAGGGGTTTGGGAATATTTGGGAGTTTGGAGGGATATGTTGTGTATCTTTATATGTGTATTTCTTCTTGACTGTTGTATTCTGAGCACCTCTGCAAAAACAGTGATAATGTGCGAGTGTGTGGTGAAAGTGTTGAATGATGATGAAAGTATTTTCTTTTTGGGGATTTTCTTTCTTTTTTTGGGGGCACCCTGCCTCGGTGGGAGACGGCCGACTTGTTGAAAAAAAAAAAAAAAAAAAAAAAAAAAAAAAAAAAAGTCTGTTTGAGTTGTAGGTAGTAGGTTGGTAGCAGCAACCATCCAGGGACGGTATTTACCGTCCTGCCAAGTGAGTGTTAAAACGAAAGCCTGTGATTGTTTTACATGATGGTAGGATTGCTGATGTCTTTTGTCTTTTCTTAAAATTGCAAGATTACAGGCATGTCTTGCTACTTCTACTTACACTTAGGTCACACTAACTTTACATGTACACATTTATTTATTACACATCATCTGAGTTTTCTTTGATTTTATCTTAATAGTTCTTGGTTTCTTATTATTTTTTCCTTTTATATCCAGGGGGAAAGGTGGAATAAAAAATCTTTCCTCCGTAAGCCATGCGTGTTTTTAAAAAAGTCAACTAAAATCCCGGGAACAATGGGCTAGTAACCCTTTTCCTGTAAAGATTACTAAAAAGAATAAGAAGAAAATTGTTTTCTTTTTTTTTTGGGGGTCACCCTGCCTCGGTGGGAGACGGCCGACTTGTTGAAAAAAAAAAAAAAAAAAAAAGTCTGTTGAGTATACCTGGTAAAGTATAGGTAGGTTATTATTGAAAGAATTAAGAGTAAAGCGGAGAATAGGATAGCAGATGAACAAGGAGGCTTTGGGAAAGGTGGGGGGGTTTGTTTTGGACCAGGTGTTTTACAGTTTAAAAATATAAGTGAACAGTATTTAGATAAGGCTAAAGAGGTTTTTTGTGGCATTTATGGATTTGGGAAAAAGGCATATGACAGGGTGGATAGGGGGCAATGTGGCAGATGTTGCAGGTGTTATGGTATAGGAGGTAGGTTTCTGAAACCAGTGAAGAGTTTTTACGAGGACATTTAGGCTCAAGTTAGGTATGTAGGAAAGAAGGAGATTATTTCCCAGTAAAAAGTAGGCCTTAGACAAGGATGTGTGATGTCACGTGGTTATTTAATTTTATTTATAGATGGGGTTGCAAGAGAAGTAAATGCGAGGGTTTGGCAAGGGCGTGGAGTTAAAAGATAAAGAATCAACATTTAAAATGGGAGTTGTCACAGTTGCTCTTTGTGATGACACTGGCTCTTGGGAGATTCTGAAGAAAAGTTGCAAAGGCTAGTAGATGAATTTAGTAGGGTATGCAAAAGAAGAAAATTAAAAGTGAATACAGGAAAGAGTATGGTTATGAGGATAACAAAAAGATAGGTGATGAAAGATTGGATATCGATTGGAGGGGAGAGGAGCATGGAGGAGGTGAATGTATTCAGATATTTGGGAGTGGACGTGTCAGCGGATGGGTCTATGAAAGTTTAGGTGAATCATAGAATTGATGAGGGGGGGAGAAAAGGGTGAGCGGGCACTTAGGAGTCTGTGGAGGACAAAGAACTTTGTCCTTGGAGGCAAAGAGAAGGAAAGTAAGAGAGTATAGTTTTACCAGCGCTCTTATATGGGTGTGAAGGATGGGTGATGAATGTTGCAGCGAGGAGAAGGCTGGAGGCAGTGGAGATATCATGTCTGAGGGTAATGTGTGGTGTGAATATAATGTAGTTTGGAAGTTAGGAGGGGGGGTGGGGGGATTGCCAAAAATGTTGTCCAGAAGGCTGAGGAAGGGTGTTGAGGTGGTTCGGACATGTAGAGAGAAAGGAGCGAAACAGAATGACTTCAAGAGTGGGATCAGTCTGTAGTGGGAAGGACGGCGGGGTAGGGGTCGGCCTAGGAAAGGTTGGAGGGAGGGGGTAAAGGAGGTTTTTGTGTGCGAGGGGCTGGACTTCCAGCGGGATGCGTGAGCGTGTTTGATAGGAGTGAATGGGACAAATGGCTTTTAATACTTGACGTGCTGTTGGAGTGTGAGCAAAGTAACATTTATGAAGGGATTCAGGGAAACCGGCAGGCCGGACTCGAGTCCTGGAGATGGGAAGTACAATGCCTGCACTCTGAAGGAGGGGTGTTAATGTTGCAGTTTAAAAACTGTAGTGTAAAGCACCCTTCTGGCAAGACAGTGATGGAGTGAATGATGGTAAAAGTTTTTCTTTTTCGGGCCACCCTGCCTTGGTGGGAATCGGCCAATGTGTTAATAAAATAAAAAAATATCTCATAAATTATAAGTTTTACATGATCATGAAGTTCCAGCTGTAAATCTGGATTAAGGGGAATGACCATGAACTCAGGCTACACAGGTGTTTAGCCATTTTTAAAGCTTAATGTAATATTTTTGGGTCCAGAGTCAAAAGGGTTTCTCTAGACCAGGGGTGAGCAAATTTTTCAGTGCAGGGGAACTTTCTTCATAGAGAAAGTCTGCTCACAAATGTAAGTTGATGAAAACAACACAAACGTCTTTCTTGAAAAAATTTTCAGATTTTGAAACTTTTTGAGTGCTGAGATGCAGGATGCATGAAAACCTTTGGCGGGCTGCATGCAACCTGCGGGCTGCATGCAACCTGCGGGCTGTAGTTTGCCCACTGCTGCTCTAGACCATGGGTTGTCCCAGTCATTGGGTTTCTGGAAACCAACCTTCCCACCAATCAAAGGAATTTAAATCTGAAACTTGTGTGTTATTTTACAATATCATACTTAGAGTGCATCAAGAGGGGATTTGAACCTTCTAACAGTTGTATTGTTACTATAATACTTATTATAGTCAATTCTCATAATGAGCTGAGATGTATATTGTGATCCCTGATGAAGTCTTAAGTTAGACAACACAAAAAATAGATAGGCTGCTGCCCGTTCAAATGCTTCATTTAACTTCTTGATTTGCTCTGCACTACTAAGAACTGGCTGCACATTAAGGGCAATAGCTGATCTAAGAGGAGCATTTCTATCTTTAGATTCATTACTGAATACAGATTCCAAAATGGAACAAAACTTATGGACCAGCTTGAGTAACTGCTGCAGAGAGTTGCTGACCATGGTGTTGTTAAGAAAACACTGAGCTGAGACAGAGACCAGGAAGTTATGATGGGCTCGGACCAGCTGTTGATAATCCCGAGTTTTGCCAATTTCTGTAATAAGCTGCCAGTGCTGTGACTCCAGTACATCAACCTAAAATTTTTAGTATATTTATAAGCATCTTCTCAATGAAAATAATAACAAATTATTAAGAGAACTCCAATATAGACCTACAAGTGACAAGAAATTAATGTCTGAAAATACTATTCCGTACAGTGGTACCCCGAGTTTCGTACAGCTCCCAACTCAAACAATTATGTATTATTTTAAGTGCTTTTGTAAATGTATTTTTGGGGGTCTGAAATGGACTAATCTAATTAACATTATTTCTTATGGGAACAAATTCGTTCGGTAACAGCACTCGAACAGCCTTCTGGAACGAATTATGGCCAAAACTCGGGGTACCACTGTATTTTATTAACCCTTTCAGTGTCTTTTATGTACATCTATATTACTGACACCAGAATCTCACATAAATCCATGCATAAATTTTATAAAGCAAGAGACCTGGTAGGCCTACATATGAGAAAATGGATTTACACAACGTGCACAGTGTACAAAAAACTGGGGCCACAGTAGTGCACCGTGTGAATGCCATCTTTAGTTCAATTTGCTCACTGTTCAGTGAATAATCCAACAACAAGAATTACAGGAACCAAGGATGTGCTATGTGCTTTCATACATTTAGTGAGAGCAAGTGATGCATGGGAGGCTAGAAATAGTGCTGAGAACCCCAACGACCTGCAACCATCCATGTCTGGGGTTGGTTCATCTGGAACATATTCATGCCAAAAGTGAAAGTTCATATTCTCCCATAGTTTGGGCTAGAGGTTTATTTTTTACATCATACACTGCATGGAGCAGGATCTTTTTTATATTGTACATGCTCACCACCGACTCATTCTCTCATGTCTAAGCCACAATTTACCACTTACAGTATATCTGAGGACGCTGTGTTTATAATGGTGATCTACGAGAGTGACAATGGCATCAATAATGTCGATCTATGTAAGTGACACTGGCATCAATAACGTAGATCTATGCAAGTGACACTGGCATCGATAATGCAGATCTACGTAAGAGACAGTGAAAGATCTAAGACTGAATTTTGAATTTAATTTTTTCTAAATTTTTTTCAACCAATTTCATTTCTTGTTTGTACATGGTCATTTGGTGCATGTGTTATAAGCTCTTTAGTCGAGAAATGTGGAAATGGCAAAGTCTCAGAATGAATTAGGGATATGATAAAGTACTGGTATCCCTATCAATTTTTAGCAAAATCACAGTAATTAGATTTACAGTTCTTGACCAGCCTCTACCAAAACAAACATGAACCCTTCACACATGTATAAAATAAACACAAAATATGAATGCACTTGGTGAAAAAATAAAGGAAAAACAGTTTCTTGAAAATAATTTATGTTTTAATGGTTGCAGTGCTTTTATTGACAGACTGGCACTAAATAAAAAATGAACTGGTTCCAAAGTGCCCTGACTGTAAGTGTGGGGGTTTGTAACCTGGATGATCATAAGTCAGGGCTCTTATGTACTGTATTCTCATAGCCCAACCTGAGGCCAGACTTCAATGCTGACTACCTGGTCAACAAGGCTGTTGCTGCCAGTGCCTGCAAGCAGTGAACAGTCATCACAATCTAGCAGATCTGATACTCTTGGCATGTACTTGTCCGGTTTTCCCTGGAAAATTTTTGTTTCAGAAAATCTTCTTGTATCTACTGGTAGAAAGAACAGCATTTCTTCATCATTACATGAATAGTACCACTAATTTGTAGCCAAAATTTTTATGTAAACAAAATACTTACTGATTTTTTGGTCATGGGCATGTTTATTGATTCTCCTGCCATTATAGGAGCATCCCCTATGAATATTAATCTTTTAACTTTTTACATAGTGGAAGGTAAGCCAGTGAAAGGTCTCAGTCAAATGATCTAAAGCTCCACTGAATGGGACATCATATGACTCAGACCTCTATCAGAAGGAATTTTCACATTTCTCCTGAGAAACTATCATCACCCTGTGGGACCTTGATGGACTTCAGATTGTTAGAAGGAATGTGTAAAAGCTCACCTGTAAGTAGTACTGGATGTTATCAATCAGGAGACTCATGTGGTGCCTCAGTGTCCACTGAAGACGGTCTGCTTCACTTTTTCTAAAGAAAAAACAAATTACTTGTTTTTTAACACAAGGTAAAAAATATGAATTACCAGAAATATTAAGATTGCGAAGTAACCAGTAACATTTACTACCTAAATGAATATTGGTTACTGTCTAATAATCAACAACTGATGGTCATTCTGAAATTTATTTTAACTCTCTTATAATTAATAGAGTGGAACCTCAGTTGTCAAACTTAATTAGTTCCAGATAATGGTTTGGCAACCAAAATGGTTGACAACCAAACAAATTTTTCCCATAAAGAATAATGTAAATAGAATTAATCCATTCCAGACCAAAAATGACAGCAGCGATGGTTGATTGGGGTTTGATACACAACCTGGCCAGCTTCGAGACACGCACTCCACTTTCGTACTTAGCAATTATCTCTTTCTTCATTTCCAAAGTAATTTTCACCCTTTTTACCACAGGGTTGGCACTAGAAGCTTTCTTGCGGCCCATGGTGACTTATTTTGCAGTTACAAGCACTAAAAACACTGTGATAATATGAAATGTACCGAATGTATGCTTAGATGCGACCATACTGGCTGGCTTGTAAACAATGGCACCCACGGGGCAGCTGAGGCCACACGTGGGACACGTCCCGGATGAATCACATAAGGCAAATTTTTATCGTGAGGCGAGGCAAAATTTTTGCATTCAAATGCTTCGTATGGCAGATTTAACGTAACGCGATGCGTTCGTAAGGCGGGGATCCACTGTATAGTACACTCATTAATTTCTTTCTTTCTTTCAACAAACCAGCCATATCCCACTGAGGCAGGGTGGCCCTAAAAGAAAAACAAAAGTTTCTCTTTTTAAATTTAGTAATTTATACAGGAGAAGGGGTTATTAGCCCCTTGCTCCCGGCATTTTAGTCGCCTCTTACAACACGCATGGCTTCCGGAGGAAGAATTCTGTTCCACTTCCCCATGGAGATAACAGGAAATAAACAAGAACAAGAACTAGTAAGAAAATAGAAGAAAAGCCAGAGGGGTGTAAATACATATATATATGCTTGTACATGTACAGTATGTGTAGTGTGACCTAAGTGTAAGAAGAAGTAGCAAGACATACCTGAAATCTTGCATATTTATGAGACGGAAAAAAGACACCAGCAATCCTACCATCATATAAAACAATTACAGGTTTCCATTTTACACTCACCTGGCAGTATGGTAGTACCTCCCTAGGCGTTTGCTGTCTACCATTGTAGTCTTAATGGAGGGTGAGAGGTGAGTTTTATTTGTCTGAAGTCAGGTTGGGAAGTATGGGTAGCCAGGAAGGGCAGCCCTCACCACCCTACCCACACATAATGTAAACAAACCAGATGAACATGTCTGGTTTTCGTCACAAGTCCTACAAGTTGCCTGGCTACCACAAGTTGTCTGGCTACCACAAATTGCCTGGCTACCACAAGTTGCCTGGCTACCACAAATCGCCTGGCTACCACAAGTCCTACAAGTCGTCTGGCTACAACAAGTCCTACAAGTTGCCTGGCTACCAGAAGCTGCCTGGCTACCACAAGTTGCCTGGCTACCACAAGTCGCCTGGCTACCACAAGTCCTACAAGTCGCCTGGCTACCACAAGTTGCCTGGTTACCACAAGTCCTACAAGTCACCTGGCTACCACATCTCATATTTTCTTTCAACGCACCAGCCGTATCCCACTGAGGTGGGGTGACCCAAAAGGAAAAACAAAAGTTTCTCTTTTTAAATTTAGTAATATATACAGAAGAAGGGGTTACTAGCCCCTTGCTCCCTGCATTTTAGTAGTCTCTTACGACACGCATGGCTTACGGAGGAAGAATTTTGATCCACTTCCCCATGGAGAACATCTCATATTTATGTTAATTTATTCTACTGTGGGGTGTATTTAGATGGATTAAGCAAAATGTCTATATTAACATTTTATACAATATTTAATGCTTCTTAGAGTGATTATTATTGTGTTATTATTATTAGCATTAATATGGCATCAAGACTAATAAGGCACTATTAGTGATTTTAATGTGTACCTGCATGCCAGCACAGTGTATAAGTTTACTTAGGTACAGGTACACATACATATAATTATCAGTTATAATAATAATGTAGGTATGTAGTCCGCCTGGGTTACATACCTACACGATATTTAATGTGGCCCAGAGCCATATTATTACCATGGACATACCATATTCACTGAGTTTAATCATTTCTAACAACTACCTTTAGATGACATCATAAACAAATGGAGAAGTAATGAATAATTCAAGCCAAGAATTGTAAACAAAAGTGTTATGCATTAAGGGAGTGACGTAATGTTTTCCCTCTGCCCGGCTACCACACCACCATAATATATAAACAAAATGTTTATATGTTATGCAATGTGTTTCTTATATAATTTTAAAGAAAATATAATAGATGGATTAATGAAAATGTCTATATTAACGTGAAATAAGAAATTTAACGTGCCCAAGAGTGATTATTATTACATAATAGAGATATGTGCTCATGGAGAATGTAAACAAACCAAGTGGCCCATGCCGTATTTGAAAGACCACTTGCCGTATAGAAAGTTTTGGCCATAATTTGAGATCGCCGTATTAGCGGAACGCCGTAAGGTGAAATGCCGAAAAGCTGGGCCCTACTGTACATGCATCACAAGATTAAAACTATTGAAACTGTTCAGTAAGGAGTCACCATAATGCTGTATGTCCAGAAACAAATCAGTCCACCCCTATCAAAAACAAGGTCATGATATCTATAAATAACAGGTACTTCATATATAATATGACCAGTTGTAGGAATTGGACTTATAAACAAGTACAGTGGACCCCCGCATACTGATTTTAACCCTTTCAGGGTCCAAGGCCCAAATCTGGAGTCACGCACCAGTGTCCAAGAATTTTCAAAAAAAAAAATTTTTATTTTTTCTTATGAAATCGTAGAGAATCTTTTTGTGAAGGTAATAAAACAAAAAGTACGAAATTTGGTGGAAAATTGACAAAATTATGCTCTCGCGAATTTTGATGTGTCAGCGATATTTACGAATCGGCAATTTTGCCGACTTTGACTCCCATTTTAGGCCAATTACATTATTCCAATCAACCAAATTCTTAGCTATTTCACTAGTATTACTTCTATTCTATCGATTGAGCACAAGAAATCGCCAAGTCAACTGTTTCAACTACAAAATAAAGTGATCGGAAATTGTTAATTTGGCCAATTTAACACAAAGTTCAAAATATTCCAATTTCAAAAAAGGGTCCAGAATGAACAATGTAGGCATTCCTGGCACTAAACTAACATTTCCTCTGTTCATTAGTTATGTTTTGAGGCTTTACAAATAAATTCCATTTTGATTTTTTATTCACATAATGAATTTTTATTCACACCAAAAAATAGAAGATTTACTCTTATGCAATACTGTAATAATTGTATAAATATCATCACCATATTTGTGAATGTATATTAGACCCACCAGCTGACGTGTATTAGATGTGTGAGGTCGTTTGTTTACTCTTGAATATCGGCAAAAATTTAACATTTCCGCTACTTTGAGCTCAGTTTCAAGCCATTTTCAATGCTAAAACCAATCAAAATCATCTCTATTTCTGTAATATGTCTTCCATTCTATCAAATGAGACCAAGAAATCGCAAATACACCTATAAAAACATACGAAAAAACACTGCAAAGTTGCTGTTTTAATCGAAAAATCATTTCATTTTTTTTCTCTCATTATACACAGTGTGCTGCAGGATCTGTTTTATGTGGTGCACACATACCACATAGATGTATTCTCTCATATCTAGGCCCAAATGTACCACTCACAGTTTATCAGAGTGAGCTGAGCTCATGGCGTAGATCTACGGTTTGGACCCTGAACGTAAAGCCGTAGATCTACGGGACGGACCCTGAAAGGGTTAATCCGTGCAAGAGGGCTCATTGGTATGCGAAGCGAAATAATCGGTATGCGAATGAATCTTCCCCATAAGAAATAATGGAAATCAAATTAATCCGTGCAAGACACCCAAAAGTATGAAAAAAAAATTTTTACCACATGAAATATACATTTTCCTACACACAAAGAGAAGGATACATGCACAATAGTAGAGTAGTACATGCACAGTATATATTGTGCATGTACTAGTCTACTAAATGAAGAATAAATGACACTTACCTTTATTGAAGATGCAGCAATGACTGATGAGACACTGTGTCCTGGGAGTGCCTTTTCCTCCTGAGTACTGTAGGTCCTGTTTAGCATTTTCTTCCAGAACAGGCCTTATCACACTGTGTATGTCACTACGATTCTTAAATCTCTCAAACCAACCTTTGCTGGCTTTAAATTCACCAATATGAGCACTAGTTCCAGGCATTTTTCCCTGTTCACCTGGGTGTTAGTCGATTAAGGACCCCAATGGAAATAAGTTAGACAGTCTTCGATGACACTGACTTTTTTGGGTTATCCTGGGTGGAAAATCCTCTGGGGTTAATTGTTTCTTGGTATATTCTCAATAAGCCACACCAACAACAGTGCTACAGCAGCAGCAGACGATACTACAGCAGCAGCAGACGATGCTACAGCAGCAGCAGCAGCAGACGATGCTACAGCAGCAGCAGCAGCAGACGATGCTACAGCAGCAGCAGACGATGCTACAGCAGCAGCAGACGGTGCTACAGCAGCAGCAGACGATGCTACAGCAGCAGCAGACGATGCTACAGCAGCAGCAGACGATGCTACAGCAGCAGCAGCAGCAGCTGTACCACCAATAGTAGCGATGGTTGATTGGGGTTCATTATACAACCTGGCCAGCTCGGAGACACGCACTCCACTTTCATACTTATCAATGATCTTTTTCTTCATCTCTATAGTAATTCTCACCCTTATTGCTGTAGGGTTGGCACTAGAAGCTTTCTTGGGGCCCATGGTCACTTATTTTCCAGATAAAATCACCAAAAACACTGTAATAATACGAAATGTTACGATTGTATGCTTGGATGCTACCGCGGAGGCTGGCTGGTAAACAATGCCACCGGCGGAACATGTGAGGCTGGCTAAGGCGCACATTGGACGCGTCTCGGACGAACAGCGGTGAGCGGGTTTTTGAGCGGTATGCGAGGCAAAATTTTTGCGATTAAAGTGAGCGGTATGCGGAATAAACGGTATGTGATGCCAACGGTATGCAGGGGTCCACTGTAATACGAAATATCAGAAAACTATTAAAAAAGCATCCTCTCTGCAACAATTACAAATTCATAAAAACAGACTTCTGAACAGCTGTGAAGAACTCTGCAAGGAATGATGCTAGAAAATTAGCCCTAGACATGATCCAAATATACAGTTAATTCTGCACTTGAAAATGTACTACTATACATGGAAACAAATTTTATTTTAAAATAATTATTGATCACAATGTGATTGAAATCATCTTGTGTGTACAAGGAACATTTAGATACTGAAAAAGGTATACATCATAATTACTTTAGCAGAACAAAGGCTTACCTATGGAATTTCGTTCGCATCTGTGTGATCCACAACTGTTGGAGTCGGAACTGAGCTCTACGAACATCCAAGAGAAATGTAAAAATTGAATTGTACTTGTCCTGAACTGATGGAGTAAACAGCTTATGCAGTGGCCACTTAGAATGGTATTCCAGCTTCAGATTTCGCCAACTTTTATCTGAGAAATTATTTTAAACAAGTGATCAAAATTCAGTATAATACATATACAGTGGACCCCCGGTTTACGATCAGCTCCCAATGCGACCAATTATGTAAGTGTATTTATGTAAGTGCATTTGTATGTGTATGTTTGGGGGTCTGAAATGGACTAATCTAATTCACAATATTCCTTATGGGAACAAATTCGGTCAGTACTGGCACCTGAACATACTTCTGGAATGAAATAATATCGTAAACCGGGGGTCCACTTTACAGGACACCATTGCTTGCTAATGTTTATCAACTGAAAGAGAGTTTGGGGACTTTCAGGGTTAGCACTCAGAGTGTGAGTAAATTATTCTTCATTTAACAAGAGAAAACAATAAAGAAACAGTGAATATCTGCAGTAAAAAATAAAAATAAGGATAAACAGAAGCAATTTTTTTAATGCCGGGTCACAAGTCAGTGCCAAGATAAAAAACACTCATTCCCTATATAAATGGAAAAATTAGTACATGAGAGACATAGTGTGATCAAGTTATTCTTGATTCCATGAATGTGAAATAATCTTAGAAAAAGACTGAAATCTACCAGTAAACTGAAAAAATGAAAATGGCTGTAGAGAGAACAAGTGGGAGGCAATGAGACTAGTGCTTCTGGAGGGCAAGTGATGTTCGGTCAGCATCTGGTCACAGAAATTGGAAACAAGAAGGAAAGCAGAAGTAAACTATAAGGACAATGTGATAGTCCTTACTGAGTGTTTAGAGGTGAGTACAGGTGTGATAATGTGCCTGATTTGTTCCTAATGGGTCATCAGAGATCTACTACAAAAAATACAGTACACTATTCATGTAAATGAAACAACCATTGCTCAATTTCCCTAGAATTTCATGCAAAATTACAATCATTACTTATTTTCAGGGAGTAAATTATAGTAGAGAGTATGAGAATGCTGTACTCCTTTTTTATTCAAGTTACTGTACAGCATTCTCATACTCTCTACTGCAAAAATGCATTACTGAAATCCTACTGCATTCTCAATACAAAAGTAAACTCCTAATATGAATGCAATGGAACATAAAAAAAAAGCTCAAAATAAAAATACCATACTACTTTTCCTACCTGGTTGACCTCTGACTGGAGTGGCCTGTGCAGTAGGCACAATTTTCAGGGAAAGTGCAAACTTTTCCAACATCTCCTCCTCCAGTAGCACTTGGCGGCCTGCTAACTGGAATAATCCGTCAAAATCTGAAGTTGATAAATATTTCAAATCATTAATATGTCTTCCAACACTTAGAACAAAATTATTCTTCTTTCAGCTATTTGTATTCATATTTATTTTCAACAAGAGGAAATTCAGGGTGTATTCAAAAATCACATTATGCTTTATCTGTAGTTTGTTTTCCCCATTAATTTGTGACGCTGTGGCACAATTTTCGATCAGTTTGAGATACAAGAGACCATTATATTACATGGATTTATTTGCCAAGTTTTGGTCATTGCACTACTGAAAAATTGCAACACAATTTTATACAACACTTCATAAAATTAACTTAACATGGGTCCGTTTGCGGGCATGGAAAAAATTTCCCCAGCTCAAGCTGCCGCCTTGTTGTGGGTCAGAGGGGGAAACCTACCGCCATCCCCTGCCACCCCGACACTCCCGCCACCACCATCCCAGTCTTCGTGAATATGTGTTCAGTTCCATTATCTTAGGAGTTACCTGTGTTTGTGAATTTTTTAATCTTTTAATTGCCATATCTTGTACAGTGGTACCCCGAGATCTGAACTGCTCCCAACTCGAGCAATTATGTAAGTGTATTTGTGTAAGTGCATTTGTAAGTGCATTTTTGGGGGTCTGAAACGGACTAATCTAATTTACATTATTCCTTATGGGAACAAATTCGTTCGGTATTGGCACTCGAACAGCATTCTAGAATGAAATAAATTCTAAACTTGGGGTACCACTGCATCTGCCAAGCAATCATAGCAATTAGTAGGCATATGAGTGTTGCTGAAAGTAGCAAGAAAAGGTATATGTGTTTAAGTTTTAGAATGAAGAAAACAGAGATATTAGACAAGAGATAGCCTATAACCTTAGAGAAATGTCTTTCTGTACAATTAACCTTTAAACTGTCCAAATGCAGATCTACGTTCCTGTGCGTCGCACTCCGAACGTAGATCTACATTTTATTATATGTGCTTTCAAATGTAAAAAAAAAAAATGTAGATTTACGTTCGGAGCACTACGAACGTGAATGTAGATCTACGTTTGGACAGTTTAAGGGTTAAAAAGAATGAGGTAAATGTACAAGTTTGTATAATGACTGATTGACATGACTAACTAACAGGCTTACTTGGCTGACTTATTTAACTGACTTACTGTCTGACTTGATGGACTGACTGACTGACTAGAGTGACTTACTTTACTGACCTAACTGACTGGCTTGACCGATTTACTCACTGACTTGACTAATTTACTGACTGACTGACTTAAAGTTAGACTTTTTCACTGAAGTGGACCCTGACAAATCCAGAAGCCATACTCTGAAACAGTGTGTAGAGCAGCTGATAATTTACGGTCAGCTCAAGCTGCCGCCTTGCTGTGGGTCAGCGGGGGAGACCTACAGCCATTCCCTGCCACCCCTGACACTCCTGCCACCACCATCCCAGCCTTCGTGAATACTTGTTCAGTTTCATTGTCTTAGGAGCTAGCTGTGTTTGTGAATTGTGTTGTGATCTTTTAATTGCCATATCTTGTATCTGCCAAGAAATCATGGCACCCAGTAGGCATATGAGTGTTGCTGAGAGTGGCAACAAAAGGTATAAGCGTTTAAGTCTTAGAGTTACAAAGAAAATAGAGATATTAGACAAGAGATAGCCTATGGCCTTAATGAAGCATTACTTGACTGACTTAAAGTTAGATGTTTTCACCAAAGAGGTGCCAGATCAACCAGGCTGTGATGTATATGTGGGGAAGCGGGTCTCCAGCAGCAACAGCCTGGTTGACCAGGCAAGCACCATATGAGCCTGGCCCATGGCGGGCTGAGAGAGTGAACTCTCAAAACTCTTCAAAGGTATATCAAAGGTAAAAGACCCTGACAAATCTAGAAGCAGTGCTCTGAAACGGTGTCTAGAGCTGATGATCCCTTACTGTCATTTGTGTAATATAATGCAGGGTAAAATAGAACATAATTTATGCACACTCCAGTACAACCATCGACTTCAGTACCAGAACCTCTACCATCCACCTCAGCCCAGCGGTCCAACAGCATGACTCTATACTCTCTTCACAATCATCGACAAACACCAGCATCCACAATTTAAGGTAAGAAATACTATTATTTCTGTTGCATTTGTAGTCTTACGCAGTAAAAACAACATAATGCATCATGACAATAAACTACAGTTACATATTCACTTTTTTGGGGCTCCCAGGAACGTAACCCTATTTTTCCCTGTAAGTTCTTCAATTTATCTAACACGGATTTACCTAACATGGCATTTTCAGAAATGTAACTACTGTGTAATATAATGATCTACTGTAAATGAAAAGTGGTGAATTGAATCCTAGGGAGCATCTCTGGAGGAACAATTGATGTAACAGTGAGTTGATTTATTGTCACAATTTCTAGATTCATGATCACCAGCAAAAAATGCAAACTTTGGTGGATTATCCTTTTGAGGACATTGCTACAGTATGACTAAAGTCCTGGCCAGGGTAACACTAAGTTACCCAAAACCTGTCATAAACCTTGCACCTAGCCAAGACAAATATATATCATCCATTCTTAATGGCAAGATTTCACCTCTCAGCAGCCTTCCTGCTACCACCCTTAACCCTTGAAAAATAAACACTAAGGACACAGCCTCTTTCAGATAGTTCCTTGATTTTTAGATTCTTGGCAAAAATACCAGAAACAATTTCATTATCTGAACAAGAAGGTGAAAGACCAGTCACAACAGCCTTAAGCAACATCTTGATTAGTTCAGATTACAAAACCAGCATCAAGAAGCCATAGGAACACCACCCTCTCATTTCACTTCAGCAGTTGGGAAACTAATCACAAAACATGATTTTTAGTCTCCATTGCCTTCTTTACTAGGATTGGATTTAATTAAACCCAAATTAAATCAGTTATGTGGCCAACTGCAACACTGTCCACTGGGATACCAGGTTCAGCTTGACAATCACAACTGCTGATCCCAAATTACAGTGTTCACCCCACAATTGTTAATCCTGATTCACCAAATTGTAATAACACAACCACAAACAAATCCCATGACAGTTAAGGTATGAACCCATGGCCATGGGTTCAAACCCCCACCCATTGGGTGATTTGTAAATCTTGATATCAGGCATCCTCAGGGCATGCATCTCCTTTCTCCCTTTTCCTTCCTCAATGCCTTTCCTAACAATGTCAATAAAAGACTGAGGAAAGATAACAGAGTCCTACAGTATGCCATTGAGGTTAGATAATTTCTTATTTACCTCTTTCAGTTTTATAACAAAATTATTCAAAATATTACCAATGGCATCAGTCACTGCACCAACAGCTCCCACAGAAATACTATCCATTAATGCTCCCCTGGAAATCAGAATTCATTCCTTCATGAAGAACAACATCTGGTCCAAACACATCCATTGCACAGCTACCAAAAATCTAAACGATGATGCCAGTGCATAAAATTATAATCTTTCTTCTTCCTTTCAACACACCAGCTGTATCCCACTGAGGTGGGGTGGCCCAAAAGGTAAAACGAAAGTTTCGCCTTTTAAATTTAGTAATATATACAGGAGAAGGGGTTAAAATTATAATCATCCTCATCTAAATCTGCATAGGCAATATAAAAACCATTCACTACATAAATCTCAATTAAATACCTCACATATGGGACACCCATCCATATTTTTTGCAGCCATATTTAACAAGTCCTTTAACACAACAAAAACTCAAGTAAGTGAATAAACTATCTGGAAAAACCCCAGACAGCACTGTGTGGTTACCATAAGCAGGTGAGGTGCAACTTCATTATATGCTATTTAGAGAGTACATAACCCCAAAACCAAGGTGTATCAGCAGTGACAACTTTTCTCTTACAAAGCTGCAAATCATGTAGGGCTTAGACAAGTGGCAGTCAACCTCATTGTTTATGATAGTGCCACTGCACAATGTAGAAGAGTGCCTTAAACCATGCTTCAGAGTATATAAAATACAATAGACTCATAATTAACCCTTTCAGAGTTTCCGACGTACTAGTACCAGGGTTATTGACATACTAGTACGCCTAAATTCTAGTGCCTTCAAATCTAGCGAGAGAAAGCTGGTAGGCCTACATATGAAAGAATGGGTCTATGTGGTCAGTGTGTACAGTATAAAAAAAATCCTGCAGCACACAGTGCGTAATGAGAAAAAATAAAAAACTTTGACCGTGTTTTTGGTTTAAAACAGCGACTTTGTACTGCATTTTCGAATGGTATTTATGGTTGTATTCTAGTTTTCCTGGTCTCATTTTATAGAATGGAAGACATATTACAGAAATTGAGATGATTTTGATTGGGTTCACAATGAAAAGTACCTTGAAATTGAGCTCAAAGGAGCAGAAATGTTCGATTTTTGCCAAAGTTCAAAAGTAAACAAATCATGCCATGCGTCCAATACACATCAAGTGGTGAATCTAATATTCTTTTGCAAGTGTGCTGATATTATTTATACCATTTCTACACTAATGCAGTAGTTTGCATTACAGTAAATCTTCTATTTTTTGTGAGAATAAAAATTCAAAGTGGAAAGCAAAAGAAATGTAAGAGGGGCCTGGGGACATGACTAATGAACAGAGGAAATGTTATTTTAGTGCCAGGAATGTCTGTCTTGTTTATTCTGGACCCTTTTTGGAAACTAGCATCTTTTGAAATTTGTGTGAAAAATGGCAAAATTGCTAATTTCTGGCCACTTTATTGGATAGTTGAAATCGGTAAATTGGTGGTTTCTTGTAATCATTCGATAGAAGAAATGGAGTTCTAGCGAAATAGTTATGATTTCTGTCGACTAGTACACCGAAATTGGCCGAAAATAGTGCTCAAAGTCGGCGAAATCGCCGATGCATAAACATCATAAAGACCACTAACTTCGCGAGAGCATAATTCCGTAAGTTTTCCATCAAATTTCATACTTTTGGTGTCATTATGATTGGGAAAAGATTCTCTACCTTTTCATAAGAAAAAATAATTTTTTTTTTTTCCGAAA